AAGCTKCAATCTCGTTATGCCAACAGACGAGTGGGTCAGAAAGGTTGGAGTATGGCTGTCAATACAGCGSCCCGTAAGGATAATGTCTAATCACATTAGTCACTGGCAGCTCCCCTCCCCACAGCCTTTGGCCAGGGGGAAAAACAATATTCCCCTGGAGGAGGAGCACGAGGAATCTCAGCAGCCCAAACACTCCCAGTGCTTCCCATTCCTCTTTCTGCTTCCCAGGTCGGGTCTGCACCCCCTACTTCAGACACWGTCCCATAAACAGCCCTAACAGTACTGCTGCTCCTGCACAGGATGTTTTGCACCGCAACAGCCAGGAGATTTTACTCCACAAATTTTCAGTAGTTTTCATCCTATGACTTGGGAGACACTGTCATGTCTGYTGTTGGGAGGAGAGAAATTTTATTCCCTGAAACTCCCAGCTACCAGCCAAGTCTTCGGGGCAGCTTAAACACTTGAGATTTCCCATTGGAGCACAGTTTGAATGACATCCACGTCCAACAACCAGCACAGCAGAGGTCTCATGCCAACTCTGCAATTTGGATTTAAAGCCATTGAARACAAGTTTGTGCAACCACACGTGTTCAGACATTACTATGCTGTGTGACAGTCTAGTGCAACTTTCCTAAAATAGCAGCCTCATCCTCCTCCAAAATCCTCCATTGTCTGCCTAAGTCCATTCAAAGAACATTATCCTATTGCAATCTTACATTGTATCCCCCTCATTTACCACCGTTGTCCCAGCAATGGCTTCCATGCTGGGTATTCCTGAAGGCTCAGGGAATACTCACGCTTTTTTGCACCATACTTTTAATTCTGGGTATGTCAGCACACCAAAGGGGCTGCTGCTGCTCTGGTTCCTGCCAGCTCCATTTGCAACTCCTTCCATATTYCCCCTAGTTAAGAGGAAATCTTTGTGTTTAGTTTCAAACCCTAAGTGCAGAAGCAGGAACTGAGCTTGGATCTTTTGTGTTTGGAGCCTCCAGTATTGCTGCTGGACCCTGCYTGTTTTCCTTACAAATGTTTTGAAACAAAAATGTTTATCTTGAACTGTGCATAACCTTTCATACCAGGCAAAATGTGAATATCTGGAAGGTTTGGATCCACTGAGTGGATCCCAAGAGTGCCAATTTCAATTCAGTATGGATAGTTCACCTATTTTCAATTTTTTGACTCCCAAAGCACAACTGAAAAGAACATGCAATAATTCTCATCACCCTTAATGCATCCACAAAACCATTTTTTTTTTTTGTCAGGAAAACACCAAATGTTACCAAGCCCAAAGGACCTTCTGCTCAGACACAGGGCATCCTGAGTACACTCTCTAACTTAATAACTCTGTCCTGTGCTATCCACTCCATACACAGTCTGATTCCTGGACATTGAAACATTTCTGAGAAGTGGCTATGAGCTCCCAGGAGACTTCCTCTCCTTCCACAAATCTGACTTGGTAAAGAGGATCCAGTGGATGGTAAAAACGGCCATGCCACAGTACACTTGACTGTAAGAAGAGTGAAACTTCACTTCAGACTTGCTTCAAAGGCTTTGGGATACCAGWATTTAAAATGTGTTAGTCCCCTGGAAAGACTTCTAACTGGTTTTACTTACCCTTTTTCCTCCCTATCACTGTGGGATGAAACAAGGCTTCTATTTTACCATGCCCTGGAAGGGCTCAGATTGCTGCTAAAGGACAGACATTGGAAGGCAGAAGGTTGCCTCCAGCTTTCCTTGTGTTAATCATAAATAAAATTACTCCCATCTGAGAGTACTACACAGCTGCAAATGAAGATTTTACTGGYGTACTAGCAATGTTTCGTTACACACAACTGGCCTGACAGGAAGGCTGGACCCACAAAACAGTTGTGTTTCCCTCCAGCTCCAAGAAGYTTTATGTCTGTATTGGTTCCAGCAGGCTGGTGCCATTACACGGGCCATGTGTCATTACATCTCTTCAGACTGGAAGTGTTCACTGGGAAAAATGATGGCATCCCCTCTAGGGGTGTCTAAGATAAGGTGAGAGCAATCTCTTCCCACTGTTTTGGAAGCCTTTTCTCTGCAGGTCTAAACTACTGTCCTATGTGATTATGGAGAGCAGACTGTTCCTTTTGTCTCAGCTATAATCTTTAATACAATTGGGGACTGTTTTGTTAGGAAAGAGATGACTCAAAARGAGACTTGGGAAACCTCAGTCTTTCCTCAAAGGTCACATTTCCCCGCTGTATTCCAAGTGCGACATCTTTTCCAAACAACTCGGCATAATCTGTTATGTGAAAGAAGGTTTATCCTAATGGATGGATGTGCACATCCTTCTGCCTGGAAGTCTCGACACACGTGCAGCCTCTGTTAAGCTGAGATTGTGACTCACCCTGGTGAATTCACCAGGTGACAGCTCTCCACATCAGCMGGACTTTCCATGCACCCTTGGTGCATCCTAGTTCCCTAGTCCTCAACACACCTGTCTGCAATTTATTTTTAAGACGGTCAAACACATTTACAGACACCTGACYACGGCTCACTCACTGGCTTAATATTTTTCCACCCATCAGTGGAAATACTGAGATGTTCTACACTGGTTGTAGGCTCCACAGAGAATCCTAGCCAAGAAATTCCACATTACATTAGCGAGCCACTAAATCTCTTCATCTTTCAAACAAATCTGCCTCCACCTTTCAGCTGTCTCATCTAAGCCCTCGCCTTATGAGAGAAAATATCTTTTGTGTAATTTTCTCATTAGTTAAGAGTTGTTAARACAGCCATTACTTTCTTTCTGTCCACAGACTTCTGACTGTGCCCTGGAGGAAATTGCTGTACAACACAGTTTTCTCCACACAAAACCACACTGGCTGTTATTTGTGTCCCATGATTATGCACATGAACAGCTATGTTTCTGCACTTTCTYAGAAGCCAAACATTAAATGGTCTGTTTTAGAATTCTCCAGTTCTTTCTTTTCCCTATTTTGCTGAAAGAATCATTAAATTTACGTTTTCCAAGAGTTTCAAAACATCAGAAGGTCCTCCATTAGTTGTCAGAAAAGGTCATTAAGTGTTTAGCAGTTACTTTACACAACTCTCTAAGAACTTCACCCCTTGAGTTCTTGAGATTCTTGCTCTTTCTTATATAATAAACAGAAAATATTCATTGCCTTTCATGCTCCTAATTTACTTCATATTCAATCTTGACTTCTGTGACCTTTCATTTTCACTTGTTTGTGGTATTTTTGTACACATCTTCAATGATTTCCCCACAATTACTCACTTTCTGCCCATTTTTCTCTTGTTCGAAAGTAACAAGAACACATAATTTACAAAATGGCCTGTTTTTTYCCAGTTTGAAACTTTCATTTCAGGTTCTCACTCACCTAAACTGTCTTCCACCTTTGTTTCTCAGCTAGTTCTTTCTGTTGCCTCCAGTCAAAACCAAAGATTTCTTATTTCGCTTCCTGCCAGCCTTTGTACCCAGAAAACTGCTGCAAACAGAAACCTTGCTGAGCAACCTGAAGTGCTGCCATCCCTRTGGATGTTTGACAACTAGAATTCCWTATTGCCACCAAGCCCTGTGCCTGGGATAGTGCTGCTTGTTGCTCACAAAAAGGCTTCTGGAGCAAACCTTCACCATTCCAGCTCTCGGCAGGTCCTTGTCCTTCTGCTAGAACACGGTTATGGAAGGCAGTGAGGCAYACATCACCTTCTCCAAGTCTTCTTGAGCAGTAATTCTATTTTAATATCCTGACACTGAGAAGTACCAGAATGAGCCACCTTCCTCCCAGGCATCCACATTCAGATTTGGGCTGGATTGAACGGCTCCTGGCAGCAGTGACAATAYTCATAGACACAGACACCCTTACTCCTCAGGCAGGTGAGCCTTTCTTACTCTCCAGCAATGYAGCAGAGGGGATTTACCTTTGTTCCCCAGTAATGAAAACTCCTGTGCATTGTTTAATTCTTCTGAAGAGTGATAGTCTTTGTGGCACTTTGTCTTTCAGTATCACACTGACCCTCACCTGCTGTTTGCAGCATTGATACCAAACAACTTCTGTTCCTCACAGCCATAATTCTCCCTCTTTCTCCATTGATAGTGATGAGGGAAATATTTCTACCTTCTTTGTTTACTTGGATTCTGGGGCTTTTTTCCTTNTTTGTTTGTTTGTTTTTTGTTTTGTGCTCAGGACTTCCCATGTTTCCTCAGAGAGAGCAGCTCAATTCAGCAACCCCAGAAGCTCTCCAGATTCCTTCCTAAAAGGCTTCCTAAAATACACTGAAAGGTGTATTTTCTGTTATGGCTCCCACTAGCAAGAAGCAAAGACCATAGACCTTGCAAATTCAGTTCAAGCCCCAGACTGGAGCATTCAGGATTGGTGCTTTCTTCAGAGAACAGCCCTCACAGGAGCCRCTTGTAGAGCTATGCAACAGTAGAGAGAGTTCTCAAAGAGCGGTATTACCTCACTGTTTTTGTTCTGGCCACTGTGTTCCTTTGGGAAGGATGCATTTCCTACTACTGCTGAGAGCTAGGAGAGCAGAAATAATAAGATGCTCACCTTGTTAGCCAAGGATTAGGCCCAAGCAGTATATATTTAATTAGACTTTAAAGAGCTTATTTCAATGTTAGGAGATGCAGCCCTTCCCTGTTGCTGCTGCCTCAGTGGAATTGTTTCAGTAAGTGTTCTGTTTACCAAGAGAGAGTGTTTTCAGACATTGTGAGCACTCAGTTTTTGTTTGCAGCTAGATTAAGAAGAGGAAAGTTGACCCAAAGCTCTTGTAGAGGTCATCTAATCTGTTTGGTTGAGAAGATCTGTCCTCCCACAGACTCACCTTCGGCATTATAGAGGAATACATCTTCCTGATGACAAGCTGTCTTTGCAGGGATACCTCAAACTTGGTCACTCCAGAAGCAGCATCATCTTCTAATACAAAAATTTAAGAGATACATGAGAAATTAGAGTGCTGCTTATACATCTCTGGACTACAACTCACCCAGAAGGTCCAGGRCATTCACGATGAGCATTAGTGAAGACGACGTGGAGAAGTTCCTTGATGGCAACCCTGCTTTTGCCAAGCAGTACTTTGAGAAGAAACTGAAAACAGAGTCCTGGGATGACAATGAGAGTGAAATACTTTTTGAGTTGATCCAAGACATGCAAGAAAGCATCAACATGGAGAAAGTGGTTTTCAAGACTTTGAGGAGGATCAGGTCCCTTATTCACGCYGACCGCTGTAGTCTTTTCATGTACAGGCAGAGAAATGGCACTCCTGAACTGGCAACAAGGCTTTTCAACATCCAGGAGGGAAGCACTCTGGAGGAATGCCTGGTCCCCCCAGACTGTGAGATTGTGTATCCGCTGGACATAGGCATTGTGGGCTATGTCGCTCAGACCAAGAAAACCATGAACATCAAGGATGTCCAGGAGGTATGTTTGCCATTTATTCGTTTTCTGGCTCGGAGAGAGGCTCACGGGGGTCAAGAGGCAGCAGCACCCCTCAGGGCTTGGTCACAGCTCTTGTGGTGCAGTTGCTGTGTACTGAAACAAATAACGAGTCTGAAAGGTTGTTTCCAATTTGATTTATGGAGGGGGTTAAACTAAGCACGTAGATTGCACCAGATTTTAATGCCTSCCAGCAGTGCACTGCTACACATTACTGTCTAATTAAAAGGAAATTACACCTAGTCCAGCAGAAGTGAGCAAGGTAGGCAGATCTGTGCATGGAAATTCCCACACAATTTTATATGTTATGAGTAAGTGACAAAGACTAAGAAATTCTTTTCAGTGAGTCCCAAGAGGGTTTTCCACCACAAAAGATCTTTTGAAATGTTTGCCGTGTTGAATCTTCAGCCAAGGGCATTTAGAGGCATTATTACCAAACAGAGCCAGTGGACCCCAGAGCAGGGCCATGAACTGCAGATGTGTCTGGGTCATCTTCATCAGAAGCAGCAAGAGACAAGCTTTGAYCAAAAAAGCTCCTTTAGCAAATATTGCAAATCAGGAGGGATCTGAGGGATTTGACTGTTTTGCATTTATGCTTTCATGACACTATTTGCTCCCCATAACTCTGGTTAAGGATTTTAACGTTTTATGTTTATACCTGCATGACAGTATTTACTTCCCATACTTCTGGTCCAATCATGTAAACCTGAATGGCAGGAATAACAATCTGCTTCTTCTAATCATAGGTATAAAACTAAAATCCACGTGACCCAAATATGGCATTTGGGATTACTCTATCTATTGTTTGCTGGTTACAAAGAGACCATCTGTTTATGCACTCATTTGTTGCTCAGTACAGGCATAACCAAACCCTTCAGCAAAATCTTTCTTGTCTCCCACTGTTTTGATTCTGCAGCCTGTTGGGTATTTTGGTTTTGGTTTTGGTTTGGTTTGTATTTTTGTTTTTTTGGTTTTTTTTTTTCTGGGTGTGTTGATGTTGTTGGGGCAACCATCAGAATGTGACTTGAACTTATTGAGATTGTTTGGTTTCTGATGTTTCCTCCCAAATACATGKGAGGATTTCAGTGCTGTGAGCTGAATGCTGCACTCCAACTTTAGAGCTTTTAGAAAATGCCGTAAGGTCTCCTTTGAAGAAGACCCAGAGATTAAATGCTTGGTCTAGCCCATTTGGGACAAAGGCCAGCAGTGAGGAATGTATGGGGAGAAGATGCACTGGAGAGTGATCATTCTTTCTGATACAATCTTCTGAATGTGATCAGAGCCGTGTGGCTTTTTTAAACTCAGACAGCAAGATTTATARATGACAAGTTATTACCCGAGCAGAGAGAAGATCTTTGGTCAGCAAGACCATACCTGCACTGCCCACTGGCAGGTGATGATGGTGTCATTGTCACCCTGTGCTGATTTGCCATCTGCCTTGCCTGTATTATCTTTTCTCTGCTTTTCATGAGAAACTAGGGGTAGCTGACAACAAGCTGACAACAGGCYTCATGGTCCAGGCACAAGCAGAAGGAAAATGAGGGCAAGTGAACTTGCCAGCGATCACACTGGTTTATGCATTGTGGCTGTGCAGTGCTACCTGGCTCTACCTACTCTRCAGTGCTAACAACAATTCAGCAGAAAGGATGGAGGGGGTACTATGAAAAATGTCATTGATCTAAGAATGACCAGTGGAGAGCCCTCTTGTTCTGAGAGAGTTTGGCATGCTAAAGCTTAAGATTTGCAAGATCTTCACAGAAAGTTAAAAGCACGGGTGTTCCAGTAAAAAGCCACTGTTTCTGCTCTTGATATTAGCTTTATCATCTGTATGTTGTCCAATTTTCTAATTCATTTCTGTTCCTCAGTAATTTTGAAGTAAAACTTCCTTYAGGCAGCTCACTGCCAGGGTCTGTTCTTTGACTTGGTTTAAGTCTACACAAGTTGTGGAAAATGCTTACCTGTAAATTCTTTATTAAACAGTGTGCCCAGTTCAGTCCATTTGTTGATGAGCTCACCGACTACAGTACAAAAAACATCCTTGCAACACCCATCCTGAATGGCAAAGATCTGGTTGCTGTCATTGTGGCCATAAATAAGCTGAAYGGCCCATAYTTCACCAGCGCTGATGAAAGAGTAAGTGCTCAGTAGTTGGGTTCTTACCRAACAGTTGTTACTTTTGCCTTGTAACAGAGATTCTTTTATGCTAGGAATGTCTGCTTTAGTGAAGATCMACTGGTGTGAGTTTCCCTAAAGAGCACTCACACTCTCATAGAAGAGGTTTGTTATGAGGATGCTTCTCTCAGGTCTTTTGGGGAAGATACCGTGGAACAAGCCTCGTGTCATGGCAGTGCAAAGCAAAAGCATTTATCCCAGGAAATTACACTGACACTTGTTATAAATAGAGGCTGCTACTGCCTTCAATTCAATCTCACCGTTTGCCTTTTCAGCTTTTTCTGAAGTATCTGAATTTTGCATCCTTGAACTTGAAAATTTATCACTTGAGTTATCTTCACAACTGTGAGACTCGAAGAGGCCAGGTAAGAGTGAAAAYGTAGATAGGCCATCTCAAAATCAAATAAATGTATTCTTCTGATTTCAAAGGTGTACCTGACCTTCTCTGGAGATTTGCTCCTGAAGAGCAGAAAGGAATGCTTTCAGATGCTGCTGAAAGCAACTTTCCCAGAGTCCTTCATTACTTTCTCTTTCTGCTGCTGTTGTCGAACTGCAGAACCTGATGCAGTGGCACCAGTTTCAGCAGGACTTAYTGTTGGATGTTTTGTTGATTTGAAGCTGCAAAACACTCTTGAATCATTTAATCACTTTGGACAGCAGCACCAAGAGGTTTTTTKAAACACTTAAAATGTGGTATTTTTTCCTTATTTACTCATTAAAAAGTGGTATTGAATTTCTTCTTAGAGCCAGTAAAATGGTTGTCATAAGCCTGTTTTATTTGCCTCCATCAGTAGAAAAGATCACATATTTGGGTTTAGGGTATTCTGGATTGAAATAATTAATTTGCCATTCTTTACCTTTACTTGGGCTAAAATAGGACTCTCAGGTTTATTAGGATGGATGTGAATCCTTGCAATGACTTTGTGCAGCAGGCAATGATGTCATTGCAGAAGACAGGGAATTTCATCTGTGCCTCATTGCAGCCACGCTCTGATCTCCAGTGGGGGTTCCCCTGCAGAATAAATGCCTGTCTTAGCAAAACAAATACAGAATTAAAGTTTATTTTGAATCTTTGGGACAGCACWTATACTTTCTAATTCATTATCCATTGCCTAATTTTTTTCAGCTATCAAAAGCATGAATGAGGGTCCAGTGATATACCGTCAGCAATGATCAATAGTTAACTAAAGCAGAACTAGCAAAGGTTTTTTCCTSTTGAGAGCTTAGCAATAGGACTTGTCAGGGTGAAAAAAAAGTTAGAAGACCACATGGAAACCCAAAAGGTGGAGGGCCTAATGGCYCTGGTCTAGGACTGAACCCAGGAGTTCTGTGTCCATATGGTGCTGCTGCCTGAGCCCCTGCCAGGGAGAGGGAGGAAAGCAGGAACAAGATGCAGGATGCCCTGCTCTAGTTCTGTCAATAGTTCAATTGTCAAACCTCTGGTTAATACAGGCTTAAGGGCTGTATGAAAGTTAATATAGTTCATTGTCCTAGTAGTTAAAGTACTGAAGTACAGAGTGAGCAAACGCCATTCTCAAAAGTGGTCTAGGATTTTAATATTGCAAATCCCAACAGCAAAGACTGGGYGATACTGTGGGTGAAATGGCTTGTACAAAGACAGTTCAGTCTGCTTGTGCTCAGATGCCATGTAAGAGTCTTATTAGAAGACATATAATACATTTTGACCAACTTCTTTACACCATTCCTTGACTTAGATATTTTTCAGCTGTTTCTCTCACTGGGCTTGTGGCTTTCAGCATTACTTACGGCACACTGTAAAGTGCCAAAAAGCTAAACCGCTGCTCAATTCATTTAATGGTTTATATGACAACATTGCTATCCTATTTGAGGGATGCTGACACAGAATAACTCAGACTTCATACAAGTGGCAGAGTTGTCTGTCCCATTTTATGGATTAGAAAGAGATCAATGCAGCTCAGAATTGCTCCAAAACATCTATTAGTGGCCAGTGAAAGGGTGAAACACACTTTGATAGTGACCATGTATTTCTTGTTCAAAGTGCRGGCCCAGTGTGATTCGGGTTGCTGCTCTCAGTGTTTCTGAGACATGGCTCCTCACAGCTCCTGGGCTCAGGAAGCACGGCACAAACACATGGATACAGGCACACACACACACTGGCTAAGCTAAGCAAGGGTGTAGATGGCTTACTTAGCATTTCAGAGCAGTATTTGTGAAACTTCTGCTTTACAAATCAAAGAACCTGATAGCAACAGCTTTCTTAGCATCTGTAGGCCAGAACATGGGGAAAAGGATCATGCACGCACATGAAACAGCTCCATAGAGACTTTGAGGAAAGTGTTAATTCAGATATTTCAAACTCCAGCCTCTGGAATTTGCAACAATTAACTGATTTTGGATGCCAGATTTTACTCATGAGTATAAAATTTAAGTGGGGACAGCTCTTTACCTGACACTACTACTTTTCTTGTGCTGTGTTGGTAAAATTTCTACATGACACTCTACGATGGCCTCTTTCTCCCTAGCAATTCCCAAAATTAATAAAGAGTGCMCATTTCCTGCACTTTTCGGGAACTGTAACCCAACATTTGGGAAGCCTGTCTCTCCAAGAAAGGCTGTGCTCACACTTTGGCTTTACCCTGCAGGTGCTGCTATGGTCAGCCAACAAGGTTTTCGAGGAACTGACGGACATAGAGAGGCAGTTCCACAAGGCTTTTTACACAGTGAGGGCATACCTGAACTGTGATCGGTACTCCGTCGGTCTCCTGGACATGACAAAGCAGAAGGTGAGTGTTCACATGTTTGCTGTGCATCTTTCWGTTTGCTGTTCCCCACTGAGGGGCTATGTGTGGAGCTCGGTTTTACTGAGGCAGTAAAAGTGAGAGCTGATTTTGAGCCCTTATTCCTTCTTTGGCTGGCATTTCTTTGTGCGAATTAAGATAAATGAATGTTAATGAAAACAAAGGAAAGGGGGAGWGCTTGTCATTGGAATGGGACTGTCTGAGGTTGGGAAGGCATAGGAGGGGATGATGTGTCTGCCTGTGGCAATCCTGGTCAAAGCCTGCAGCACAAACACAACATCACAAAGTCTGTGGTGTCAGGGGTAGAGTGAGATACCTATGGAATCCTCATTGGCAAAGCACCCACCTTCCACAAGGATTCATTTGTCCCTGTGATATCTAGTTTTTTAGATGAAATTTGGTTCTGTGAAAACAAGCCGACAGAATATGTTACCTCTGATTTGGTTGGATTGTTTGCACCTTTGGCAAACTTTCTGTCAGGGTTGCACAGCATCCTCRCCAGTGGAGCCCTGTTTATCTCACAGCACTCGGTGCAACACTCTGATCATGCAGMCAAAAAATGCACCAGACACTTCCAGATTTGGRCATTTGGGTATYATTCTGCTGCCTAGTGTTGAACTASTTTTAATATTTCATGCTTTGTWTACACAGCACCAAAACCAGCATGKTAGAGCAATGGTTACTTTGAAGCTCGAGGCAGAATGAAATTTTCTGCTCTAAAAATTCTTCTTTAATTTTGAAACCAGGAATTTTTTGACCTGTGGCCAGTCCTGTTGGGAGAAGTACCCCCTTACTCAGGACCTCGAACCCCGGATGGCAGAGTACGTGAAAACAAGATTATTTTAACTTTCTCCTGACAGGCTATATTGCCTCACCACTCATTTTAATGTCACTCTTTTTTTTTTTTTTTTTTTTTTTACTTGTAGGAAATAGTCTTTTACAAGGTCATTGATTACATATTACATGGAAAAGAAGACATTAAAGTCATCCCGTAAGTGCCCCAGTCCCTGTGTGCTAGGTACTGGCACAGGGTGTAGATAAAAACAAGGTTCACTGTGGTTTAAAGATATCCATGTGGAAAAATGCAAAGGACTGATAGAAGACTGAGTGAGAGGTCAGAATGTGTGTTGGTGCTTCAACTCACATTTCTGTGGGATAAAGGTTTCCTCAGTGGCATTGAGAGCCTGACTTGGAAATTAGGCTTCAAAATTCACTGCAACCAGTGCAGAAGTGAGCTGCCTTGCCTGCCTGCAGTTTTACACTCTCCTTGCCAGGCTGAGGCATCACTCTCCTCCATGCCTTCCCTGTGTCAGTGGGTGAGCCCCACGATGCCCTCGTGTTTAGGCTTCCTTGCTTCTCTCCAATCCATCTATTACTGACCCCATGGTAAGGCTACCTCTGGCCTTTTCTCCCCTTCTGACACACTGGGGCTCCCTCTTTCTGAGAACATTCCACTCTTCTTGCCCTTGAATTTTTCAGAGGAGCCTTGGGCAGTTTAGGCAAATCTGCCATAAGAGGGGGTTGGCCCCGTTCTGGTCACACTGCTTTACATCAGTGTATTGCTGCGAAAAGGGCCCCCTTTTCTCGGATGCAGCAGCATTCCAAGCTCAGGCTGGAAGACATCCTTAGCCAGGAATCTCCTTTGATCTTTCTCTGCGTTGAAGGCCTGAAACATGGTCCTTACTCCCAGGGATGAATTTCTATTAAGTCTCTGCAGAATGATATTTTATAATTATTTTGTTTTGGATCCTTGAAGGGAAAGTATTTGCTCATGTGGAAAATTTTTGCTCATGCACATGGATCCTTTGAAAGTAACAGGACTGTTTATGAACTGGGGGTTCCAAGTGTAAACCTGGATTATGCAATCTGCTGGACRCTCTTCAGCTCTATGAAGGTTCTTCAGTAAATATATACCTTTAATTCCTCTTATACATTTTTCTTTCATTAGAAATCCTACCCCAGATCACTGGGCKCTAGTTACTGGACTGCCAACCTATGTGGCTGAAAGTGGATTTGTAAGTACTTAACCTAGGATTCATCAAGACTCTCTGAGATTAAATAATGCTTGCGCTGCTTTCTTAGCAATTCAGTCCTTTGTTTTGGCAGTTAAACTTCATGTTGCCCATGTAGTAACATTTTTCTTTTGTGTGATCCCCTAGATTTGCAACATTATGAATGCTGCTGCAGATGAGATGTTTAACTTTCAGGTACCGTGAAAACTTCCAGCTCTATCAAGAATTCAACTCTTTTTCAGAAGAGTAATGTAGAATCAGTACTGGGCTTATAAATACTTACCTTGCCTGTAGTTTTAAGGTAAAACTGAAGTGCCTATGTATTTAGAAAACACTTTAAGTACATGATGTCTTTCTGCCTGCTGTTGCTTCAAGGAAGGTCCTCTAGATGACTCAGGATGGACTATCAAAAACGTTCTCTCCATGCCAATAGTGAATAAAAAGGAAGAGATTGTTGGCGTTGTCACATTTTACAACAGAAAAGATGGAAAACCRTTTGATGAACAGGATGAAACCCTCATGGAGGTATAGTTTCTTGCTGGAAGTAATTCATATGGTTGAAGAGGTCACTATTGCTAACTGTACATCTGCAAAGCATCCCCAGTGTTTTGCAGCTAAGTGGGTATTTTTGCTGCTTAGAGAGGTGTTACAYGTTGGCTTGAAAGTTTTGAAAGCAACTGTTTGAAATACTCAGGGAATTTGGTATGGGAAACCCATCTATGTTCATRTGATTGATTTTGTTTCAGCATTCTTGGATTGGACACCTAGCCATGAGAAGCTACTATGTGCCAACACAACCATTCCGACCTGTGTTCACATATCTGACATCTGACTCTCACTGGCTGGGCAACTCCCTCAAAAAATTACACAGAAATTATCTGTGTAGCCAGGATACAAAGGGACACTAGCTATTGGATCTGCCAACAGTAGCTGTGATTAAAGACCTTGCTGCTTAGAAATACTCCTATGCTAGCTTCAATGAAATATGGGTATTTAGCTCTTGGCATCTGTTATCAGTTGGGGCATTTCCTGAAACAGACTTTTCTTACTAAACAAAAAGACCGTGGATTAAAAATCAGTTTGAATTGGCCATTGGGCAGCAAATGAGTTGAAAGCAAACACAGGATGTGACTAAATATATGCAAGAGGTGACGAGACCACCTTGYTCTCCTTTGATATGAGGGTTCCTGCGCTGCTGTCACTGTTGTGACAAAAAGCTTCCCACAGGCATGCAGCAGCAGCAGCAGTACAGGAATAATTTTCTGTACCTGGAACTGGTAGAGCATGGATGGTCTCAAGGTCTGGGCAGATTCAACAGCTGGGGAGCTGCTTTGCTGAGGAGCAGTCGCAGCTGGGAGCAAAGACATGGTTGCTCATTGCTAGAATTGTGGCCAGAGTCAAGCTTGTGTTTCTTTAAAATATATAATGCAGTGTCATATTTCAGTGTCTTTGAGGAACAGATGTTACGGCTTTTTCACTGTTTCCTTCTCTTCCCCTCACCAAGTCCTTGACCCAGTTCCTGGGTTGGTCTGTACTCAATACAGACACATATGATAAGATGAACAAGCTGGAGAACCGTAAGGACATTGCTCAGGACATGGTGCTCTACCACGTGAAATGTGACAAGGATGAAATCCAGGAAATTCTGGTAATGCCTCGCAACGTGAAGCACACACCCGAGTGTACTGGCCTGGTCGATGACCTGCAGCACAGATAGGTCTCCCATTTCACAAAAATGCTTCCAGCCACCACAGTGTCGGGCAGCAYCTGGGCCCGAGCCACTGCTCAGGGGCAGAATGATTCTGTCTTCTGATTCTGTGTTCTGCCCCCCACCTTGGCACACAGCACCACTGTTTTCTTTCTAATTTCCTCAGAAAGCCAGCCTTGGAGGTGGGCTTACATAGTTGGTGTTTAGGGCAGGGCTGAGGATGTGAAGTTAGAGGACCCAACTGTGACACTAGCTCTAGGGGGACCTTTGCAAGTGAGGGAAACACAAAACAAAATCGAGGAGGGGGAGAACGTTACCGGGAAAAAAAGTGTTGAAAGGCAACAAATTGAAGTTAGGTTTGGGAAGGAAGCACAATTTGCATATGAGAGCTGCCCTAGATTGCCCCAAAGCTGTCCAGTGCAAAGTGCAGTGGGGTTCAGTTGTCTGCTTAACACACCCTGTGCTCTTTGCAGCCAACACGAGAAAAGCTGGGGAAGGAGCCATGTGAGTGTGACGAAGAGGAGCTGGCAAGCATTCTGGTAAGAACATAAGGACTGCTGGAATGAGCAGCCCTGGCAAGGAAGCATTGCCTGTGCAGATGTAGGGAAGAGTTCCCTGATGAAGGGTRAAGGCAAAGCACACCCTGCCCTCCTCTGCTGTGTGAATTTGAGACTGTTATGACTCAGCAAGTACTTTCCCCAGCTCCTGGGGAGACCCTGTTCTCTGCCAMTTTATCTCAAGGTGTTCAAAGTCCAACTGGAAACATCAGCCATCTTGGCTTCTCCCATTTTGAGTCTTCAAACTATCTAAAATCAAGTGTTTAACAGGAAACAAACAGTATTTCCTGCACTTGACCAAATCTGCCCTCTCTCTTCTYCACTAATGGGGTTTTCATGAAGAGCTTCATTTCAGTTTATTTATGTGTTATATTCTAAAAGAAAAGCAGCATCAGACTGATATATTCTTATTAAGCAAATGTTAGGAAGTACATAAGTAGCACAGCAATAAACCAGCCGACTTTTCTTRCAGAAAGAAGAACTCCCAGGGCCCACTAAGTTCGAAATCTACGAGTTCAGGTTCTCTGATTTTGACTGCACTGAGCTAGAGCTGGTGAAGTGTGGCATTCAGATGTACTACGAGCTTGGAGTGGTGAAAAAGTTCCAGATCCCACAGGAGGTATGGGCTGGCAAAAGCTCGGATCTCCTGTCTTGGATGTACAGCACCTTGCCTGTGCTGGGGCTGGGACCGAGCTCCCCGGGAGTGCCCAGCACACCTCACAGAGCRGCCACAGGACTGGGTTTGTGGGGTTTGCGGGGAGGGGGTCGTGTGTCCAAGCCCCTCACGATGCTGAGGGCAGGGAACAGTGCTGTGGGAGTGCAAAGTTGGCCCCTTCTGCTCTCTGCTGCTCCTCACCGACAGCCGCAGGGCCGGGTTTGCTGTGAGGTGTGCATGGAYGGGTGGCGCACCCTGCAAAAAAGCTGCTTGCATTTTCCCTATCCAATACTTCTTCCAGTCATAGCATAAAAAAGCAGCTTCCAGGAGCAACTTGGGAGTGCCCACCCGTGTGCCTATTCCCTCTGCCCCAGTGTGCACCCTGCATCTTTCATCCATTCACATGGATGTGCCTTAATTTGGCGCAGTTGGTACCAGTTTGTCCACAGGAATGGTGCGACCCTGTGGGAACAAAGACCTCATAACCCCTGACGTGCGAACTCACTACTTTTGCAGTTCAAAACCCCATAAGAATTGTGAAAATGGGATTTCAGCAGCCCTGCKCCTCCCCAAGGGATTTCTTAGCACATCATGTGAAGTTGATTTCCATCTAGTGGGATCTGGAGGTAACTGCAGGAAGAATTTTCAGCTTGGAAAGGCAGGACAGAAATTGGGAGGGAAGCGAATGGGAATTACCTTTGTGCATCTTGTAGTATGTCAATGTCAAAAACATTCAAAATAACTACTCCAGAAGAACTAACCCCTGGCACAGCCATAAAAAGCAGTCATTCTTATAGCTGAGATTTTAAGAAATGAATACTCATTCATAAATATTTTGCTCTTTAATTAGAAAACCTGCATAGCTACAAGAGGTAGCACCCATGGAGAAGTAGACTGCAAAGAGAAAAAAAACAGTTTGCTATTTAATGCTCTATATTGCAATTGTCTAGGTGCTATAAATGCTGCCCATCTCTGCATCTATGGATCCATAGCTCTTGAATAGACATATCAGTATTAATAAATCACAAGACAAAATGTCAAATATTAAGAGTCACATGAATGACAACCTAGAGAAACACAAAAATTCAATAAATTCAACGAACAGTAAGAAGCAATCTTTTTTTCTCCAGACCTTGCTGATTCTTGTTTACCCCACAGGGATCTGAGTGGTTTTACTTTTCTTACCAATTAAAAAAAAAAAAAAAAAAAAAAAAAAAAAAAAAAAAAAGAGGGATATCAGAAAATAAATAGCTATAAATAAATAGCTATATTTTGGTCTCTCCTTTTGTTCTCCACTAGGCTTTACTCTAACAATATTTTAAGGAAAGGCACTAACATCCTTTTCCCCATTGGCAGGTTCTGGTAAGGTTTGTGTACTCTGTCAGCAAAGGCTACCGAAAGATAACCTACCACAACTGGCGTCATGGCTTCAATGTTGCACAGACCATGTTCACACTCCTGATGGTAAGGCTTCTATARCAGTGGGCAGCCAACTCTGCATCAAGCACATGAACACTGCAGATGTGCCTRCCCAGGTCTGAAATGCTCTGTTTCCAGATGATTCCCCATTTTAACCTAAGCGTACTGGGTATTGTGTTTTGGTTCACAAATATTTTCAGTTCTCCTGGGCTGATCCAGGACATCCCCAGCACAGAGCAGCCACCGCTCAGTACTTTTTCCTGTAAGAGATGCTTACATACAGCATGGAAATTCTCTCCCTCCAGACAGGCAAACTGAAGCGTTACTACACAGACCTTGAAGCCCTTGCGATGGTGACTGCTGCTCTGTGCCACGATATTGACCACAGGGGAACCAACAACCTCTACCAAATGAAGTAAGCGCTTTCTTGCCACTTCAAACTATTTTCTRTTGCTCCTACTTGGAGTGGAATCAGGCTGTGATCACATCAAACTCCAGCACAGCTCTGTTTAATGCATAAGGGTGACAAACTTCTTTTACAAATAACCTTGCTTTTCAGCCTGCTGCAATGTTTGAGGCTCTCTCTAGTATCTTGAGCATTACAGGAGACTTAGGATGCCCACAGAAGCATCATGGCCATAAGACAACTGGTGTTTTGATGTTTCTGTGGCATGGCATTGCACTCACAGAAACAAGGCACCTGTAAGAGTGCTCCTCTCAGTAGGCAGTTATTAGCTATGGATAAACAATTGCATAATTTCATTATCTAGTCAAGACTCAGCTGATGATTTAAAGTAGTCAGATCACAGCTCTTTTGTAATTCCTCCTGGTTATATTATGTTTTCTGGAGCTTTGGAAGAATGCTAAGTGAAGTTCGCTTSTGTTTTTGATACTATAGGGCCTTGCTTTTCAGCTAGGAAGTTGTCCAAGGACTGCAGGTTATTCTGTTCCTATTACCAGATATCAACATGCAATTATTCAGGAATTAAAGAAAATACTAACCTGAGTAATTATGCTGCAGTCATAAATAACATCTGGGGTGAAATTTGTAGTTGGAAGACTGTTTTACAAAGTGTCCRAACAATTATAGGCAATGTCACAAGAGTAATCTTTTAGACAGAAGTCATTACCAATTAAAACATTCTACTCATAAGCCTTTTAAAAATAATTGAACTTATATGTGTGACGGAAAATACATGAAGAAATGAGACTTTTGTTTTCATTTTTAAGTGCTGCACTAACATCTTCCATTTTTCCTTTATGCAATCAGGTCTCAAAATCCTTTAGCTAAACTTCATGGATCCTCAATTTTAGAGAGACACCACTTGGAATTTGGAAAGTTCTTGCTCTCTGAGGAGGTTGGTAATGAACTGTAGTATAAGGGCATGAATAATTTGTACTTTTAAGTACATTTTTCATTAACAACAGAGCTATCAGCGAAAGACCTTTCTTTGGCTTGGATGCCAAGAAACTGCAGCTGTCTCAGTGTTTAAGGCCTCTGTGCTCACCCAGAACCAAAGAACATGGGCTTCCTCACTGCATGATTTGATTTCTTCAGAAGCCACGTTGTTATCCCCAGAGGAATATGTAAAATACAGGGTTGTTCTTCTGTAGCCCCTCCTGCAGGGCCAAGGCTGACAGCTTCCCAGAACTAATTTTTAATTTCAGTAAATTTGCACCTGAGACAGGGGCTAGGCTTTGGGTAGACACTGTGTAACAACCTTCCCCTGTTCAGTGAACGAAAGGGGAAATGGCACCACATGCAGTGAATGGGCTCACATCCCTTTGCACCCAAGGACAGCAAACGGAACCAATGGTAGAAAAAAAAAGTGAGCATATTTGGGAAAGTGAAGTGGCCAGGAACTCATAATAATCCAAGGCTTGGATTTTGCAACTCCTTTTCCTTTGCTTTTCAGTCACTGAATATCTGTCAGAACCTCAACCGCAGRCAGCATGAACATGTGATTCACCTGATGGAAATTGCCATTATAGCGACAGACCTGGCACTCTATTTTAAGTAAGTCGGTCAAGTGCACTCTGTGTGAAGGGGAGAAAGCAGCTGGCACTTCACAGAACCAAATGTGATGCTTTCMTCTGAAAATCCTGTGCAGCAGTTCTCTTCACAGACACTGGCTCTGGGAGGCTGCCTGTAGTATCGACCTCAGAACTGGTGTGAGAACTCAGATCATCCAGAAGAATGTTGAACTTCTACWCATTCATACACATGAATTTTTAACCCTCTATTTCCAGCAAGGCAGGGGTATGTGATCCTCTGTAGAARGAAATGTCAGATTTGTTTTGGTTCAGTTTTTTTTTACCTACCACTTCAGCACTGAAAATACTGATAAATGGCAGGACTATAATAATTTCTCTGCAAGGGTGACATGACAAAAATAACAAGTARTTCATTGTAGGTGAATATCCAGCTCATAGTCTTTTTCACACCCAAGGGCCATAAAAGACAAAATCTTGGAGCAGCATGTGCTAACTTTCTGGGACATAAGGCTGAAACTTAATGACATATAACTTTGTAATTAGCAAGGAGCTTTCAAAACCTGTTTTCAAAATACTGGGTCAAGACCAGAGACTGCTCCTGTGCTGTGCACAGAAGTATAATTATGCAAAATTTAAGCAGTCCACAAAAGAGGCATTTCAGGGAGGTTGTAATAGCCAGAATTCTTAGTCTGGGGATACAAAATCYATATGGCTCCATCAATCTAAATACCACCACTTCCTCAGCAGTTGGGAGCAAATTGGTCCTTATCCTCTGGCCCATGAGCTGCAAGCAGAGGCTTGGCTGAGCTAAGACACAGGATTATTGATTAGAGAACACATACACCAKTCACTTTGTGATGACGTCTATCTGTCTTCTCTGCTAACATTGAAACATCAGGTTTCTCCAGATCTTATGCTGCTTCAAAAAATGGTGTATTGCATATGAACCATTCATCAGAATTCCCTAGATACATTTGGATTGTATTAATAAGGTTAACAATGCTTGACTGAGTATGTAAAGCCAGACAGCTTTTAAAATACTCCAGCTAGTTCTAAGTTTCTGCAGTTTCTTTAACATTTAAAGAAAAAGGCTTCTTGTACTGCCAACAAAAGTGGAAGCATTTCTCAGCTGACATAACTTGCAGTGGCTTGTACCTTCACTGACCTGCTCATGTCTCACCAATACACTTCTTTTTCAAGCATTTACATTAGTTAAGAGACAGATGATGGTGCTTGGTTTTTTTTGGGGCCTTCCTTGAGGATTGCAAGTGCCAGGACAGCAACTACTGGAAATCCTTCTGGCAAGGCTACCTGTACCAAGATCAGACATATGTTTTTAACATATTTGTTTTCCTGTTTCATAGAGATTTCTTCTTTTCATTTTTTTTTAAACCATCCTCCCCCATGCCCCCAAAGAAAGAGAGCAATGTTTCAAAAGATCGTTGACGAGTCTAAGAAGTATGACAGTGTGACTGCCTGGACTGAGTATCTGTCTCTGGAGACAACAAAGAAAGAGGTTGTCATGTGAGTAACTGGCTCTCGGGAAATGTTAGTGATGTGGACATCTGGGGAGAGCTCTGTGCTTTGTGCTGCACTTAGTGCAACATCAGCAAGTGATGATACCTTATTCGCCACTCAAATTTGATCTTCTGGAGAAGCAGGAAAAAAAAAACCAAAAACCCAGGGGAAAAAAAGCTTAAAGTGGTTAAACATCCAATTAAGTGTCTTGTTGGTCATATGCTCTCTAAGGAGATGTGGGATCCCTTCTGGCTACATATTCCTTCCAGACCACCCCGCAGGCTACAAACAGGAACATCCAATCTATCAGATTTATCTAGATTTATCTGGATTATCTAATCTATCTTCCTGATGGCAGCTAATCTGAGCTGTACRATGCTGCTGCTGTGACCAGATGCTTTGCAGGATGCCCTACACTGGTGATTAAATGCTCTCACACCTTGCTGCAGACTGGGCTGCTACACATCCATGAGGSAGCCAGAGGTGTTAAACCAAAGTAAAAGGAGTTCAGCCCAGCAATGACAAAWGCAGCAAACATCTCAGTGCCAGAAGCAAGATTAGTTACCCATCATAATTCCATTTTAATCAAGAAAGCAATCCTTGATGAGTGGCCTAGTCAGAGCCAAGGAACATCAACWCCTATTTCTTTATCTATTACTTGAGCAAGGGCCAGGCACAGTACTGGGGCATGAGGATACTGAGCCTGCAAGAACAGGGAATAAATTAACTTGTTTCCTGTTTTTTAGGGCCATGATGATGACTGCTTGTGACTTGTCAGCAATCACAAAGCCTTGGGAAGTCCAGAGTAAGGTCAGATTTCTATAGATTTTTTATAGATTTTTATAGATTTCTATAGCTTATACCTCAAAGAAATGTGATTTCCAAGCTGCCTAGAAGCTAAACGAAGTCTTCTACCAAAATTATCAAAAGGAAGAGCTGTGGTTTTGATGGATTAACCAATCTTTCAAATTATAGTTGTGATTTCTGTAAAAAAAATCATGTTTAAAAAAAAAAATACAACTCAAGCCATTATTTAGATTTTTGGGTTACAGTGAGGTTTTTTACATGTAACATATATGTTGGCTTTATTACAGCAACACCTGCAGTTTGTTCAGTTGATTCCCTTCAGGAGTTCATTCCTGAACTTCACTTGAGCAATTGATAAATAATAAATACCAATGCTTAAAGGAGGGTAAAAGAAATAAAACCATCTTCCTCTTCAGCACGAAGAAAGCACAACAGAAAAAGAAAATGTAATAGGCACCCACAAGGTGACCAATAGACAAATCCTTGAGGGGAATACAAACACAAGGAATGTTTCTCAATAGATGATCAGTGGACTAATCATCCACACTGGAGAACCAGTGCAGTAAGACTGTTGAGCTGTCACTACACAGGTGCAATCCTACTGCCACAGCTGCCCTTGCCAGGAGAAAGAGTGGGGCTGTGGTTGGTCAAGAAGAAACAGAAGGACTGGAAGTTHGATTTGCTTCAGGGTGGAGATGTGAAGTGCATCAAGTTATGAGGCTGAAGTTGGTGYTAACTTTTCATTTGTCTTCCTTGTCAATGTAGGTAGCTCTCCTGGTAGCAGCTGAGTTCTGGGARCAAGGAGATTTAGAAATAAGCGTCCTTCAGCAACAGCCCATTGTAAGTACCACGCAAGAAGCAGGCAGTTCAGATCACACAGCAGACTGTAGGAGTCTCAGCGGACTTACTAAAAGCAGTGCTGCACTCAGGGTGCTGTGAGTGCCTGAAATCACCACACTTACCAAAATCCATTAGAGAACTGTGTGCTCAGTGAAGAGCATCTCTGACAGTGCCTAGGGCTTCTTGTCCGGCTGTCCATATAGTTAGATGTGTTCAGTGGCTGAGAACCATCAAGGGGTGACTGTCCCTCTGGAAATTTTGTTTTCCTTACAGAAAAAAATTAAAAACTAAGTAGATAAGTCACAGAAGAAAGTAGTTTCTAATAAAGAAGAAAACTGCAAACACTTTTTTTTTTGAGTCAAGGAATTATTAGTAAATAGAAAGGCATTTCTAATTTTTTTTTTAATTTTTAATAGAGAAATTTGACATTGAAAGAACCAGGAGTCATTCCTTGATGTGGTCTACACCTGTGTGGTTTGGGAGGTTTTTAAGTAGATTTTCATGCACCCCCTCTACCCACACTGGCATGACAAATTATATACTAATCAACATGATCTTGTATGAATATAATTTCTTGTTCAGTCATGTTTTARAGAATTGCAAACCTCTTCAACACTTTACAACATGAACCTTTCCTGGAATCTGGTTGAGACGAACAAGGGAAAAACTTATTGTTCTCCTTCCGATCCACAGACATTTGAAATGCTGTCTAAAATTTCTAYTAAAATTACAAATGAAATGAGCCCATTTCACTCCTCTGCAGTGGAGGGAGAGGCTGTGATGGACAGTCTTTAAGGATGGCATGACAGAACTGCCAGGCCAACAAAACAAGGCAGTTTGGGGAAGAAAATATAGGTGTGTTATTCAGTTAAGTGTTCTCATAAGTCACCGTGAACTTGTGTCCTCCCACAGCCTATGATGGACCGAAGGAAAGCTGCTGAGCTTCCAAAGCTTCAAGTGGGTTTCATTGACTTTGTGTGCACATTTGTCTATAAGGTAAGCAAAGTGCACTCTCACACAGCCCATCCTTATCAATGGGAGTTCAAATCCCAGAGGATTGAGTCCTGGTGCAGCAGTACCACTCCCAGGGAGAGGGACAGGAGATGAGGCAACATCTGCCCTTCTCTAGGGCACTGCAACAGGGTGACTCTTTGTGCCATTAATTCTTTCTCCAAAGCATCAGCTTTGGGTGTGAGGTGTCAGCACCTACCCCGGGGTATGAGGGACAAGCACTACCTCTGCACTGCATTGTACTGACAGGTGTGTTTTGGTTAGGAATTTTCCCGTTTCCACGAGGAAATTCAGCCTATGCTTGATGGGCTGCTGAACAACAGAAATGAGTGGAAGACCCGTGCTGATGAGTATGATGCAAAAATGAAAGCTCTGGAGGAAGAGAAGAAGAAAGAGGAAGAGAGAATGGCTGCAAAGAGAGGTCAGAAAAAGTAATCAGCTTTTTATACCTAACTCAAAAACATGGTTACGAGTACTCTCACACACCTACAGCAAACTTTGCTGACACAGTAAAGTAAGATGCCCAGAACAAGTTTCATGAATTTAGCTCCACTGGCAAGGCTGAAGGCACATTGCTTTTAAATCTGACACCATGATGGGCTGTCAAAAAGGCCACCAGCTTAGGTTCCCAAACACTAGTATCTGAGAAAGTAGTGGGAATACATTCAGCATGAATTCCYRTGCAGCTGGGGACAGCAGAACATCRTTGGCTGTCCCTGGAAAATGGCAGAGAAACATCCCTTCATACACAGGGGCCATGGCTGATCTCCTGTCCACAAGACAGAAGCCAAGAAAAGTTAACACAGTCCTAGGGAGAACATTTAAAAAATAATTGTTCATCACATTTCTGGCCTAGATTACATACCACCTAGAAGCAAGCGGTGGCAGGACCCAGTAGCAATTAATTTTCTTTGAACATGGTTTTCTTTTTCTGTGGGCCCAGCCTGTGYAGTACTGAATTCCATCAGCTGTAGTGGGCATTGGATAAAAGCTTGTTTGATAGCCTGAGGATTTATTTGAGCCTCAGAAAGACAGAATAGAAAGTTCTCCTGGCCTCTCGCAAATGTCTGATCAAATATCTGCCAAAACTGGGTGCCTTCASTCCACAAAGACTGTATTGGAACTCTCCTTTTGTTCCAAACTGCACCAAAATTCCAACAATCCACGGTTTGGACATTGCTCAAATGACACAGTTTAGAAATCATTAGAGCTGTCTGGATGTTTTAGCTCAGTTTAATTCACAGTGGTTAACTTAAAATATCAAAAATAAATGTTTTAACCATTATTTAGAAAATTTATTTCCTGAATAAGTAATTGATATTCAAGCAAGGACGATTTCCACTAATTCTACAGTACTCTTTCCAAGCAGCCTCACACACACAATTACTTTGCACTGCAGAGAGCTCTAGACTGGGTGCTATAGGTATGACCTACACTTATCACTGGATAATGTGAAAGTTCTAAAAAGCTGCAGTGATTGAAAAGGAAATTTATGACTGTGCCTCTAATTCTGTGTTTCTTTTTGCATGGCAGGTGAAATAACCTGTAATGGAGGAACAGCTCCAGCTTCCAAAACCTGCAACATACTTTAGATCGATTTTAACTGCAATATATGCCACCCAAAATGAGAATGCTCACAGTTTAAAAAAACAAAAAACAAACAAAAAAAACCCACCCCATGGATACAAATACATTTCTTATTGGACTATTCTGATAATTTATTAGGCTTATGACCAACCAGGAAGGGCTAGATCTTGTTTGCCTTAATTGCACCGCTTCCAGAGGGTAAGGAGCCGGTTCTGTCCCATCTCTTGCTTCATTAAATGCCCCTGATGTCAGATGGCATGTAGAAAGTCAGAAAAACTTTTTGCCCAATAAATCAGGTTGCAAGAATATGGAAAAACATTTTTCCTGCACTGAAACACTTCTGACTCCAAAACTGATGGGGATAGTCCTGCTCCATACAACCCCATGTGACTGACAATGAATGCAACCATAGCCTGTARAGTACAAAAACTGAAGAAGAGATAAATTTAACATATTTAAATCTGTATCTGTCAGGATATYGGAAAGAAATCTGAGGGTAAGGATAAAGCATGAAAACTGACCATAATAAACWTCTGAATTGCTCTAAAACGTTATGATTTCATGTAAATCCAAGAAACACTCAGGTAACAGTTCTGCATTCACATGAAGAATCTGGATAGGCCTCTACCCCAAAGCATTCATGAAACATCTGGTAGCTGCCTTCTTCAGGAGCAGAATAATTGATAATAACTGTGTGCTAATTGAAGCTTTGTTCTTTCACATGTCGTTTTAAGAAGACAGTGTTATCATTATACATTACAGTTCCTCTCACAATTAACCAAGCAATGTGGATTGTGGCATCCCGTGAATTTGTACTGTTTCGCCTCATAATGCCAGTTATTTAAAACAATTGATCAGAACCAACTGTCCTTCCTTTCCCCCTTCTCTCCTGAGATGTCTGGTTTTCAGAATATCCTCCAGACTTCTGACTCTTATATTTCAGCTGAAGTTACTTTTCATGTTTATTCATGCAAATGTATTAGAACATTCAGTCACACCCTTGAATAGAGACACCCTTGTCTGCTCCTGCTTCCCCTCTCTGTCTCTCTGTCTCTGTCTCTCTTTCTCTTTTGAAACTCTTTGGAGATCTGTTTTGCTGGGGATTTTCTTCTTTTATTAGTCCTGCTACCTTCAGGGCTTTACCCTTCATTGTTTTGCATTACAAAAATACTGCAAGTAAAAGGAAAACTACAGCTATGGTGCTATCTGGTGATCATTTATCTGTCTTGGTGTAGTAAGAAGATGTAATCCCAATCCATCCAAGGGATATATCAACAAGAACCTCAGCTATGTTTCCTCAAAGGCAGGTCATAATACCAGGCTTGAAAAAAGATGTATGTCATTGCAACACAGTTTCAGGAAGGGTCTGTTGAAGGCTGCAGAGAATTTAAATCTGCTTACTTTCCAATTAAGGGTTTTCACTTGTGGCTTGATGAAGCTCTCAAGTCCAGTGGGAGACAAGAGACCTGTTTTGTAAATGCCTCACTGAAGCAGGTAATGCACACAGACCTCCATTCTTTGTTATGAAGGTGGTGGTTGYGGGGGCAGGAAAATAAATATCCCTGTGAAACTGGCAGGAGAGGTTTCTCAGAGAGATGCTCAGGGGTGAAGTGTAAATATTATTTCCGTGCAGGAGAAGAAGCTTGCTTGAGTGAGAAAGTGTCAAGGGATTTTTAATCCTGCATCTTGACCATCACTTGCTGTCCCTGATGGAAGGGGTAGGACAAGCCAACACAAGACAGCATTTCTTTGCTACTGAAAAAGGACATGCTGTATGCCCTTCGCCCATTCCTTCTGCTGGAGCCTAGACTGCTGCTGGGCTGTGAGTGAAGATGCCTGACCTGGCACACTCAGAGATGCATGTACAAGGCCTCTGCTGCTGACAGCTGTGAGGGTGGCAATTCTGGCAGAGGGAGGGAAAACTTTCAGGGAGAGTAGAGAACATGGTCCTCAGCCACCTTTTGCAGATCTGAGAGAAATGCTTACTTGTCCTTTYCCAACTAGTCTCAGTCTGACTCAATATAAGGCTGGAAAGCATTCCTCTTCTCCCARGCAGGCAGGATAGGAACAACTCAACCTCCAATCAAACAAAGAGATGGTATTGAACACCACATGGTGGGTATGGACGCCAGCTCCACCCTTCAGGCAGAGGGGGTCCATGTCTTGGTGCACAATTAGGGGCTTTGTCTTATCAGCATCTCCAGATCCTGGGAAAGAAAATCTCTATGGAGTCCAGAGGGTACTAGATCCAAGATTCAATTGTTGTCTGGGCTGAGTGTGGCTTGCATTATCTGTCATAAAAGCTTACAAGAGAAAGATCTTTTTTTACTCTGTACCTCTTCCTCCACTTCCACAAAACTATAAGATTAAAAAAACATTTAGCAGATTCAGTAGAAAACKGAATCATTTAGAAAACTGAATCAACTGAAACATTCAACTCCCTCTCAAGAAGCAGCAGAGGACTGAGAAGTCACACAAATATAGTTCCAGCAGAACAAAGGGGGATGTAATGTTTTCCAGAACAAGCATGAGGGGTCTTCCCCGTCATACCTTTTGAGAGGAAATACATTTTCTCACTGCTTCCTTCATTTTCTTGGCCTTTTTTAGGCTTGAGCCTGATAATCATCTATTGTCTGGAAAGAATGGGGTGGCAGAGAACTAATTTGGGCCCTGGGGAATGGCTCTAAAGAGACACATAGTACCTTTCCCACCCCACACGGAAATTCTTCCCAGTCTAAGAGGYATTGAAAGGACAGCTTTCATGCTTGGCCTAAACCCAGTTTTTGAGGACTGTATGGAAAGCGTGGCAGACATCTCCTCCATAATCAGGATGCATAGCCAGTCGCTCCTTATGAAACAGACTACATTTTGGCTGTAACTTGTTCTTAGTTTTGAGGAACAACATCTGTCCTTCTGTAGTGTTTAGAACACCTGACTAGTGAGTCAGCATCAATTCCTCAGATTAGAGCAGATTGACAGCCATAATCAAATCTGACTGCCCTGTCACATGCAAGAATCAAGCAATAATTCACTGTGATAGCAAAGCTAAAAAAACATGACAGAAATGCAGAATTGCAGTCAACACCTCATTGTCCATGCAGAAAMCAGRGRTCAGTACTGGGGTCTCYCTCAGGGGTCAGTACWGGGGCTGATGYTGTTCAACATCTTGCCAGTGACAGTGGGATCGAGGGCACTCAATGGTAAATTTACCACTGACACCAAGCTGTGTGGGGCAGTTCAACACACTGGAGGGAAGGGATGGCATCCTGAGGGACCTGGACAGGCTGGAGAGGTGGGACTGCAAACCCCATGCACTTCAACAAGGCCAAAGGAAGGTCCTGCACCTGGGCCAGGGCAATCCAGACACAGGTACAGGTTGGGTGGAGGAGTGATTGAGAGCAGCCCTGATGAGAAAGACTTGGGGTGATGGCTGATCAAAAACCCAACATGACCAGGCCATGTGCACTCCCTGCCCAGAAAGCCAATGGGATCCTGGGCTGTGTCCAAAGCAGCGTGGGCAGCAGGGGAGGGAGGGGATTGTGCCCCTCTGCTCTGCTCTGCGCTGCTGAGACCCCACTTGGGAGTGCTGCAAACAGTTCCAGGGCCCCCAACAAAGGACATGGAACTGTTGGAACAAGTCCAGAAAAGGCCCAAACATGGCTAAAAGGACAGGAGCACCTCCCCTATGAAGACAGACTGAGGAAGTCATGTCTGTTTTCTGGAGAAGTCTGTGTGGAGACCTCACAGCAATCTCAGTATCTCAATGGTCCTATAGGGAAATTGGAGATGGATGCTTTGCCGGAAACTGTAGTGACAGGACAAGGAGTAATGCGTACAAACTGAAAGAGGAAAATGGTTAGGTATTGGAAAAAAATTCTTTTACTGTGAGGGTGGTGAAATACTGAAACAGATGGCCCAGGGAGATTGTGGATGCCCCAACCATGGCATTGTTCAAAGCCAGGCTGGACAAGGTCTTAAATGTGATCGTGGGAGGTGTCCCTGCCATGGCAGTGGGATGTTGGGACTAGATGATCTTGAAGGTCCCTTCCAATCCTTTAAGATTCTACAATTCTATGAAACTCTCCAGTCAAGCCATTTAAAAAATAGTATCAGTCAGTCAGCACCTCACCAGTCTTCCCCACCTGCTCATGTATACATCCAACTGTATGTATCTTCTGATCATCATCATTACCTGTAATGTGTGTAGTGACTGGCAGTTGCTGAGGGAATACAATGGGGTGTTCCAGCTGCAACAACAGATTGTGGCAGATGCTTCCTGTTGTATTTTGTAAGTATTTTGGTCGCTGTTCCATGCAATTCACTCAAAAAATACCAAATTAAGTATAGTAAGTATTTTATTGACAGAATATCAGAGTTCAAAAGCCACTGGAGAGCTCAGTGTTAGCCATGTATCCCCATGTGCGAAATTCAGACGAAATCTGTAGTTTATTTCAGTATGGAATCTTCACTTGCTAGAAGGGAAGAAGACATAAACATGGTTAGGACTCCTAGCCACTCCCATGCAAAACTAAAATACACAAAGCCATCAGTGGAATCAAAGACTACTTCTACATAGTATTTTTTAGCCATTTTTTATGAACCCCACTTCTGTTTATTCAACAGAATTGTAACTCAGAGCTTTGAGGTAAATGCAACCTTTTAAGTTTACTCAGTAGTAAAAGACAGTCTTTTAAACTGACAATTCAAACAGGCCCACAAAAAGCTACCACTACAGCTATGTCCATCTTTCAKAAAAATCTTCAGCAACTGCACTGCAAATAATGGAAGTTTAACACTGCTTTTCTGAAAAAAACATACCAAGACCATCGTTGGGAACAACAGACCTGTCACCTTTGYGCCCCTTTTAAACATGAAACATTCTAAAGGAGAATTTTCTTACTAAGGGGACCGGCAACACTACAGCAAAACCTCTACCTCCAAAAATACAGAAAGTTTCTTCTAGTTAGAGAACACCTAAAAGACTCATTTATTTAACCATGACCAATGGTTAAATGTGTTGATGATGTATTTAAGATGGCAAAATAGCGTTATCTCTAGTATGCGATGCAAATGATATTTTATTTTCTCTGTGTCTAGTTAATTTAGCGTTTTGTTCAACACTAGTTTTATTTAGGAAAATGTAAATGCCACTACTTCCCACGGAAGGAGTTACTGAGTATGTATCTGTACCAAGAACAGATTGAGCTGTTAATTGACATTAATCAATTTTCTTAAAATTCTTCTAAAAGTCTACCTAAAAAACCTAGGTGAAAAAAAAAAGCTAAAGATCACATTCCTCTGTATGGCAGCAGGGAAGGAATCCTCTTTTWGAACTGCACAGAGGACACAAAAAATAACCCTAAGGACAAGGGGAAAATTCTGCAGCAAGAACAGTCCAAGTGGTAGGGAATGAGAAATAAGAAAGAGTACTAGTTCCAAGTGATACCCTCCAGGATACTCTCTTCRTGCCAGAGATACAACAAATGAAGGTGACCTCTGACACAACAAGATACAAAAAATCAAGCTAACCTCTAACKGTCCAGCTGTGACACCACTTAGAAGTCTCAAGTTGCCTATGGCTTACAGTTTAGATAGTCACACTGGTGAGGTTTCTACACTACAGGGAGAAAAGTGATCGTACATCCAAATAAATAASGGACATCCTGCTACACTTAATATATGGATTCAGTTATGCCTCATAGAAGAATCAGCAGCTTTTAGCAWTTTATTTTCTCTGCAGAAATTCAGCCATTTAACAAATCCTGACTGCTGCAAAAGCGTTAACTATTGCTCTGACAATCTTTTAAAACGCAAGCATCATTAAACAGCAGGACTGTTTACTGCTTACATGGCTCTCCCTAACAACTGCCTGCAGGGTTAGCTGCAGGCCTCAATTTCTCCTAAGTGCACTGCGGTGAACAGCAGTCCTGCAGCCAAACACCTGCAAGACAGTGTGCTATGAATACACTAAACCGAGRAAGTACCTTCCGCAATCTCTTTTGCGATCCGCTCCAGCTCTTCACGTTTCTTTTTCTCCTCCGCCTCTATTCTCCTCTCTTCTTCAGCAATCGGCTTCAGGTAGTCTGCCATCAACACAATCCCTTTAAAACACAACTTCCCGAACCCCYGGCGGAATGCTCCGCGGCTGCGGGCTCGCTCAAAAAGGAGGAAAAGCCAGTTTTTTTGGCACACAGGTACATTACATAAGGATCTGCGGCTTTACCCCAGCAGCAGCGATCAGGCAGGGCCGAGGCCGGGCCGGGCCGGAGGAGGGAAATGGCGGCCGGGCCATCTCAAGGTGCCCTTGCGGCGCGGACGCGGGGGAGCGGGGAGCGGCCGCCCGGCACACCTCACTCACCGTATCGYTTCTTGCCGTAGATCATCCCCACGAGCAGCGCCGAGTAGCGGGTGAACTGCGGGACACAGAGACAAGGACGCGCCCTTCGCTCAGCCCACGGGCACGGCCGGCCCCGCCGCCCCCCGCCCCGACCCGCCGAGACCGCCGGCCCCACCGGGCCTCCCGCAGCCCCGGGACCCCCTGGGTGATCCCCCCGCTGCCCTCACCTTGATCAGCGGGGACACCTGCACCGGCGGGATCATCCTGGCGGCGGCGGCGGGCGGAACCGAGCGCGGCGGCAGGAAGGGGCGGGCAGCAGCCGTGACCGGGAAGCCGATCCCCTGGGCTGTGCTCTGCTTCCTGAGCGCTTGCGATGCCGTCACTGAAASAGCTCCGGCGGCGCAGGCACTGCCGCGTCTCTGCCACAGGGCGGGGCTGAGGGAGCTGCGAGTGTGCAGCCCGTGACAGGGATCTGGAGGAGTCTCATCGATGTTTATTAATGTGAATGGATAGACTGAATGCAGGAAATTCCTTTTAAATGGAAGGGAAAAAGCTTTTTTTTTTTTCCCTCACTGCCACAGGGAGAGGCTGAGGGAGCTGCGACTGTGCAGCCTGTGACAGGGATCAGGGGGAGTCTCATCGATGTTCGCCAATGCCTGATGGACACAGACTGAATGCAGGAAATTCCTTTTAAATGGAAGAGAAAAAGCTTTTTTTTTTCCCCCCTCGTAAGGCTAATCGGACGTTAAAACGGGTTGCACCGTTTGAAAACATACTAGAAATTCTTTTTCTATCAGGTTGGTCCGGTACTGGCATAGCTTGCCCAGAGGGTGGTCCCTGGAGGTGTTTAAGAGGCATCTGAATCTGGTGCTGCTGATGTGGTTTAGGGGTTACAGTGGCAGTGGTGGGTGCATGGTTGGACAGGATGATCTTAAAGGTCTCTTCCAACCTTGATTTCATCATGCTGTAACTTTTTGAGTAATGGTCTGTTCAGGTGTTCAGTCTGACTGCATATAGACCTCTACAACCAGTCTACCCAACCTTAAAGTGGAGGCTTGAACCAGACAGTCTTCAGAAGGCCTTTCCAATGACATTCACTGTATGATTCTGGGATTGTAATAATTCTTGTATTTCACGTTAATATTCATAGATAGAAAAGCCCGTGATCATTAGTAATGCTGTAAAGAACACCTACTTATAGTTACACTCARAAATAATCTTTCTGCTTAAGACTGATACAATTCAAATTAATGCAACTGGTTTCTCAAGAACTTAAAATGCTGCTAAACCAGGTCTGTTTATATGAACATCATACTTGCCCTCAGGTTTAAGTTCTGAGATATTACCAAATTTGGTTTGAATACAGCTATCTTAAGAAAAAATAAAATTGTTCTTTCTGCAGAACAAATTGCTTATCTGTAAGTGGGGTAAATTAAAAAAAAAGAGGGAAAGTGCATTATTGAGACAATACAGTGCCTTGTAGTATTTACACATTGCTTTATATAGTATCAAAGTATCCTTGTACACATCAAAATGAAACTCCTTGGTGAGATTCAGTTTTGGCTTTAATTTTCTTCAAGTACCAACAGAAGCAAAATCAACATTTCTTTACATCACACTAGAAACAGGTTTTACAAAAAAAAAAAAAAAAATCACAAAACTGCTGAGTTGGAAGAGACCTTCATGATTTTGAAGGAAAAAGCCATCTAACATAATTTTAATACAGATATTAGACTTAAGGTTCACTTACAGAGAGGAAATAAGTGGCCTGAAGCTTTGTTTTTTCACTGATTGCAATTTATTACAAATACACATATTCAYTACTTTTTATGTGCCTGCTGCACATTAGAAACAAAACCGTACAGAACCAAAAGTGCTTTTAATAAGTATCAGAAAAACCATTATACAGGACACAATGCAAGTAATTTAACCACAACTAGTTATAAATCCCCTTGAAACGCTGAACATATTCTGTTCACAAGAAGTATGTAATAGTCACAATTACATATAGGTATCAAGGTGCTTCAAAACAAAAGCACAAGTGCTTTCAAGACTGATCTCAACCAAAACGAGATATCTGAATTAGTTTTCACCTATGACTTCTTCAGGCATACTTTGCCACAGTATTTTTTTTTTTAAGATGAACAACAAAATTCCCCAAATGGGAATAATTATGGCATTAAAGTCAGGCACTAAGACAATTCAAGGTACAAATTAATCGTTTTGAGAAAARGAAATGTAATGGCTTCCAGGGCAGCCAGAGGTTGGTTGGCTTGAAAAGMGTAAAGCTGATCCAGCTGCACATAAGAGTAAAAAAACAAAAAGCAACTTATTATGGACAGGAACTTTTACAGGGTTAGTTTCTTCTGCTGTCTTCCTGAGATGCAACAATCTGTGGGAATCCTTAGTTATCCACCACTCAGAAAAAAGCTTAACTCCCTTATCTAATACAGAACTGTCATCTATTGCAGTCTCATACTCTCTTTGAMTATTGCATCATGCCTTCAGAGTAACAGAAGGATGTTCCATTGACAGGCATGAAAACAGACACAAAAAGCCTGAAGAAATCCAAACACTGCAGATGAGCAGCTGCTGCAGAACAGAAAAAACCCTTACTCTAGTCCCACACCTCTCTTTCTGCAGAAAATATCAAAACTAATTGACACCTGGATGCAAAGCCACACTAATCCTCATTTTTTACATATATCCTTTTTTAAAAAGAATAGATACACTAACTTGTGTTCAGGTAGCCTGGAAGACTATCACAATTGCACCTCCCATCTAAACTCACACAGAGAACCATTCAAATACAGGCAGATTTCCAAATGGTATCCCCAGTTTGTAATTATGCAGAACAAACAGTGTAATCATTGAAAAAAAATTAAACTTAGACCAGCAACTTGTATGCACAAATGTTCTACTGTGATACACTATCCAGAAATCCAGAGGTCTCCCTATCTTCCATGCCTCACATTCTCCTATGCACAAGAAGCACAACCAACTTCTATGCCTGTGTTTGGCTGCCATTTTTCTGTGCATCTGTCCACTTCTTAATCAACCATCGCTGCAGTTACATGTCAAGCAGCATTTTTTCCTACAGGGCACCCCTAAAAGAAGGGGAACATGCTTTTCTTTGTGTCCCCTATTTACCCAACATTTTCAATAGCAGATTTTGGAGAAAGGGCCTCAAGCATGACCAGCTAAAACATATGGTCGATACAGGCTTTGGTTTAGGTCAATATAATCCACATGAATATAATGTGAGTCAGAGGAACTGAAGTTAATCTTGTAACTTCACATGCACTGTGCAGAAAATTAGGTCAGTATTTCATTTGGAGACAAACACGCCTCCTCTTCTTCTAACAATACAAYCTTCCGCCTGGACAGAGACATCACAGACCTTATGGCAGTTAAAGCAATTCTAACAAAAATGCGCAAGGCAAGGAAAGCAAATGGGATTACAATCTGCATAAGATGGAAAATTGCTGTGCTGAATTCACTTAACAAGCAAGTTAAAAAGAAGGCCCCAAGGCTTACACAAGGGTAGAGAGCCAGCTTGGCAAACATGAAGGCATGCTCCTTACCACCATATCTAGCAAAGGCATGCAAAGTTTCCTCTTCATTGAGAAGGGCTGTAGTCCATATGGCAAACTGAAATATGCTGGCAAAGAAAGTGATAACACAACTGACCTGAATGGCTTCTATTTCATTATGAGACTTCTCCGCAAATTCACTGGTCAGCTGGTAAGCCAGTGGAAGCCCACCAATGAAAGCCAATGAAAGTATGTTAAGCAGTCCCATTAATCGGGTAGCTTTTGTTACATAAAGGAAAAGTGAGTGATGGACAAACCACAAGAGACCGATTGTAACAAATGAGCCAAAGTAAGCAAGGTAGTTTGGCCCATATTCACTTAAAGCTTCAAGAAGACTGCCATGGAACTTCTCCTCAACTTCTCTGGGATCAGGAACATTGTCTTCACTGTGGARAGAAAAATTGCTTTACTTTGCACATTACTATTATAAAAACACATCTGGAGCAACACTGAACTATGCTGATTTACTTTGTGCAAGTAGTGAACAACAGGCATCCATTCTGTACTTCTGGAATTTGCAACTTAGAAACAGTGTTTCCAGTAATAGCTCTGCAAAGAAATTAAATATAAAAGGAAATCTAAACGTAAGCTGGCATTCCTGTGGGTTAATAAAGTTGCCATGTACCTAAACAGCTTTTACTGATTAAAGCCTTTCATATGAAAACGTAAGTAAAGAAAAAAGGAAGTTTGTTCTTCAAGACTTCACATGCCAACATGCATTACACACACAGATGATCATTACTGCTAAAATGTAGTTATCCTTGGTTTGTGCTTTGAGTCTTTTCAGAAAATAATACCTTAAAGTAACCATTGCAGGTTTTAGAAGTCAAAGACAACACCTGATTAATTATATTTCCTAAAATATTACATGCAGACAGAAGTTAATATATTCAACTAGAAGAAGCCGCAGAACCAGCACAAAGCCTTACCATATATCCAGAATAAGCAGGGTTGCTACAATAGCATAGACTCCATCACTGAATGCTTCTACCCGTTCCTTACTCAGAGGTTCACTGAGGTAAAAAGTGAAGGTTTCTAAGCTATGAGGCTCCTCCTCTTCACCTCTCCGACCTGAAAACAAATCCTGAGGCTTAATAATGAAAGAATAAAGAAGTATAAAATCAGGTAGTTCAACAACCTACTGTGACCCCCCTTTCTCCCCATGCCAGTCATTCACACAGGTCRGTCACTCTACTTTTTTTTGCATATGTGCCTCTCCCTGAAGTTCGTGTTTCTTTCAAGACAAGTGCTTCATGGACAAACAAAAAGTCCTGTCCATTAAACCACACAGCAAACCATTTCCACCAAGTGAATAATGAATCAAAGTTGCAGTTGAACAAAAAAAGTCAGATGCTGTGCCTCAGGAAGCCCTAATAGCTGAAGGGCCTCTATGACAGCACAGAGAACTTATACTACATGGCAGAAAAAAAACCTTTCTGGAGCATGGGGCTGGACTGGGATATCAAATGACCTGATTTAAAATAATTCACGCCTTTGGTGAAAAGGTGTAGCTTTCATAGCAAATGTCAAACACATCTCTAAAGACTGGACTCAGAGCTGCCTAGCTAGCCAAAATACACTGCTTCAGGAGTATAGACTGGACAAGGAAAGAAGTTAAGGTTCCATASGAGTGCAAAGCAAGTGTAATCTCAAGAAATTCCATAAAGCAGTAATTTATGTCAGCCATTTGACAGGGTGAGACACACAGACAGCACCTGACAGCAAACCAGTGGCTCCATCACAATAAGCATGGACAATATTTGTATTGTCAGGCTCT